CTTAGTAGCCAAGAGACGTTTTTCTTCGAAGAATCTCGAGTTGCCGGCTTGCGAACTTAGAGAACAGCGAATATGAAGTAATGATCAGTGCTACTAATAATCCTTTTCAATTGCTTCTAATGATTACGGACGTGCCTGAAATCAAGAGGAAAGGTGCGCCCACATTATTTCTATAAAGATCAAACTTTTCGAGGTAAGCAAACCAGCCCGTTTGGTCCTTCTGCTGGATGCATTTCCTTATTCTTCGATTCTGTTTAAGGGTCTCATAATCCCATTCAGGGAAAGTACGTGGGGAGTCGCTTCTAAATCCCAGGTGGAAGTTCTTTATACGGTGTACATAGGGCTGCCGTGCAACTGTGACAGTATGGTGTGCTTTAACAGTTGATACATATATTAGCCCAATGCCTTCCACATATTAACAAGGAAGCGTCTTCCAACTAGGATTCAGAAGCGACTCCCTACGTACATTCCCTGAGTGGGATTATGAGACCTTTGAAAAGAATCGCAGAATAAGAAAATGCATCCAGCAGATGGGCCAAACGGGCTGGTTTGCTTATCTCAAACTTTTCTGCTTTTTCAGTGAGATTAATGGTGTCTGTAAAAACATTATCTAAATAAAAGAAATAGTCAGTTTTTCTAGCCATGAGACATTAACTTCAGATAAGCTTCTGATATCGCCCTAAGGCGCTCAAGACTAGATCTTTTTCTACATAAAAACCTTCGCAAACCTAGATGATTGAATCTACTTCCAAATGGCTTTTAATGATATGAGAAGTACTGCACGAAATTCACTTGGGTTAATACTTACAGCACTAGTTTTTCATAATAGTTAAATGTTAATCGGAGAAGGGTTATAGCTCAGATGAGTTAACTGGTAGGGGTGAGCGTGGCGAGTAAGCCGGATAATCTACACACAAGGAATGGAGGTACGGAGAAGCCTTGCTGTTTGCAATTAATACCAATGACACACAAGGAATGGAGGTACGGAGAAGCCTCGCTGTTTGCAATTAATACCAACGTTCTGACTTGAAGTTTTGAACTGCTGTTATTTTGCCACAGTAAGCGATTTGAATATCTCACGAGATTGGCGATTTGTGCGCCAAACTTCGGCCTCAGACGGGACTCAAACCTGTACTTGTGCTATGCTGTTCTTATCCCTCCGATACCCCGCTTGCCCTCGCCTTTCCCATTTCTTATATTCCCTAGCTTACTAGCAAAATCCCTTCCTCGAAGGTAAGCAACCAATCCGTTTTCACCCATTTTCTTGTTTCTAAATAGGATGCTGTAACAAATATGATTTCAGAACAGAAGTCCAGCGCCACTTTGATTGAGAGCTAAAAAATGTAGAAGTGATTAGGTAGCCGCATACTCGTTGATACTGTGCAGGTTGTACAAGACAGTTTGATTCATTCATTTTAATAAGTAGCACAAGTAACAAGATGAGAAATAAGATTTTACAAAAGTAAATAATGAGAAGTAATGAGGTTATAATACGAAAATGGGGTAAAGGTGATCCAATCACTTATGCCAATTGGTAATTCAAGTTGGTTCAGAGGAGAATTGACTCCAAACATTACAACAGACATTTTAATTTGTCAAATTTGAAAACGATTTCATCGATTTTTTGACTCTGAACCCATATAACGGTTAAAATACGAGAGTATCTCTAACGAGAGTATATGCAAAGGTCGTAAAACAAGTGGAAAATAAATTCCGCCGTCTGTCCATCCACGACTATCCACTTCGTGCTCCTTGTCGTTGAACACTTGATGACTCTTTTTGCATATGTAGGGAACGAGCCATTGCTTCTGACGGTGGGATCTGAAGCAAAGCATTGTTCATCTTGTATTTTATCGTAACTTAATACTGTCGCGAATCAACGGTACCGTATCAACAGCCAATTTTGCAAAATTTGTCTGATAACTGAACCGAATGGGTTTCCCAATAGGAATGATAAATGGGCTCTGTTAGACTTCCGATTAGTAAGACCCTCGCTCCTCGCATTGGTGTAGTCGGAGATGAGCCCAGCCTTATGTCTGTATGAACCTCGCCCAAGCCAACTAAAGCATGTGATCTTCTTAGTCGTCTAAAAGCCACCGAAATCGTCCCGCCCTAGGAATTCCCCTTTGCAAAGATCGAGTGCCATCAACAAATGTGCCAAAGTGTGTGTACAAATGATTACTGAGTACTCAAGGGAGTTGCGGAAAGTGGTTGAAGACCTGTTTCGTGAAAAATATGGGCTGTGTTCAACAAACACAAAACAACTTTCCTAGTTTCCTAAAAACCTGGTCGATTAGGTCAATTGCATAGCAGCAGCTGCTGAATATTTGCTAATCGACAAGGTATCTAAAAGTGGATAGAACGGTGAGGTGCTGTCCGCTCATCTCACGTTCACAGTTTCGAGTTTGCCACCTAGAAACCTTGAAACTACAATTGGTCTCCCTCTACGTGAGTTCTCTCCGCTTTGGAACAGAGACAGGAGAGGTAACCGCAAGCCTGGTGGTTCGCTTTCGTAGCGCCGACTCGTAAGTGGCCCTTGACATACTCCTCTACAAACACCCTTCCCATCTTTGAAGGTTGGCTGGCTTCCATGTTTCTTTGCTGGTGTAAAAACATTGGAACAGAATGGGTGGATTTCCAGAATGTGGTGTCTCTCATTTGGGTGTGATACCGAGAAATACGAAAATTAATGGGACACATTTGTAGTTTTCCTGAATAAAGATAGCTGCGGGGAATAAAAAAGATAGCTGTGGGGAATAAAATGAGCAAGGTTGAAATGCAGCGAGGACACTGGCGACCGATCCAATTGCACGTCTCTCTTCTTTCCCAAATAGGATGTAAACTTCAGAAGAGCCTTTGAACTAGCAGTCCCAAGATGCTCCCGTTTTGAATAAGCCCGGGGGCAAGTGCGCCCACTCCTCTGCACGATTTAGCTCTCCGGCTAGTTTTACCGTCCAGAACACTTTCTCTGAAGCATATTTGCCAAACGTACCTCTGGTCGATGGTCGAGTAATAGGCGCTGCTTTCTATCGCTGAATCCTATCGTTTTTGCAAAAAGAAAACGGAACATCGGATACGAAAGTGTTTCCCGTGAGACCTAAATGAAATGGTTAGATGAAATACGAATCCAGTCAGAAATCATCATTTACGATCACCTCTAGTCCGATGTTGTATTTAATGTGGGTCAGATAATGTTGAAGGAAAGATTTTTCGAATGAAACTTCACGTTTTGCAGAAAACTGCGGAGATTGAACTCGTTCTTCTAGAAACTGAAAGGTAGACAAGATTTAGCCGGAGATAAAGCTCGGAACATCTTAGAGAGATTTCGCTTTTTTTACTGAAACACTCGTTCTTCTAGAAACTGAAAGGTAGACAAGATTTAGCCGGAGATAAATCTCGGAACTACTTGGAGAGATTTCGCTTTTTTACTGAATCCAAAGTGAAATCTCAGGTAAGCAACAGGCTTTGATGGCTCAGTTCACGATAATTTTAAGGTATCTTGTTCTATACGAATAATAACGTACGTATCTCAAAAAGAGTATCAAAACTGGAAGAGGGACGCTAATGTGTCGACAAAAGTCTCATGGACGAGGTGTTTGGACGAGTTGTCCATATGTGTGTGTCATTGCGTATAGCTGGCTCCAGTCTGCGTGCAACGTTC